GGGCCACACATCCCTCCTCCAGCATGTCCTCTGGGGCCTCATTCCAGTGCCCCCTAGGGACGGTATCAGGTACTACGGGAGACACTGTTCTCACCCTGCAGAGTCACTTGCTTTGGACTGCCTGCACCAGCTATGTGTGTCAGACCCTGTTGCTTTTGAAAGCAGCAGTTTCCTGTGACAGTGTGACCTCTCCCTCCCCACCCACCACACTTCCAGTGCTCTGCTCCTCTGAGCCTCAAGGAAGTCGCCCTGACACACCTGCATGCACCTTACCCCCACCCCACCCCCGCCACGGGAGTGCCCACTCCACTTACAGCCCCTCCACCTCTCAGAGGACACCGCCTTTCCCTTGTTTCTAGTCCCGAGAGAATCGTTTCCTTTCCCTAAAAATAAAATGGAATGAAGCCTGGAAGTGTTTGTGTAACCCTTTTAAAATTCATGGCACATCTGTGACCCCCAGGAACATCTGGAACGTATGAGTTTAGAAGCTTCACCTCGAGTGTGGAAAGACCCCAAATGTCTTTTCTGGCCATGAGACCATTTCTCCTCAGGAAACCCTGGGGTGAATCTTGTCAGAGTGAAACATGTAATCACGGCCCTGTCATGTTTTGTCACGCACCTCTGGAAACCATGGCATGGTTGACATGCTTGATTTGTGAGCAGCATAGCCATAAACCACCGAAGGAGGTTCTTTCTCAGGCCTCATACATGTACCTTTGAGAGGGATATCAACAAACCACCGTCAGAGATCTGCTAGAACACATTTAGATTTTTGAGGCACGTGAAAAAGCCCTTCCCTTTCAAAGTCAAGGACATGTCTGACGCCTTCTGGTCATCTTATAGGGGAGCTCAGAATAGGACCCAGCGTCAGACAGTCACAGAGAATTATAACAACCAACCGTCAACAACTCTTCACCACTTCTTGATTATCATGGGCAGTAAAGCGGTATGTGTGTGTGTGTGTGTGTGTGTGTGTGTGTGTGTGTGTCTGTGTGTGTGTGTGTGTGTGTGTGTGTGAATAGCAGAAGAACACATGATCAGAAAGATAGGGAGGTAAGGTCAGGATTAGCTGTTAGAACAATTTCTCTTCACGCACAGCAGTAGGGTGTTTGCCTTGCACGCAGCCAGCCTGGCCGAGCCTGGTTCAATTCCTCCGCCCCTCTCAGAGAGCCCGGCAAGCTACCAAGAGTATCTCGCCCGCACGGCAGAGCCTGGCAAGCTCCCCGTGACATATTCAATATGCCAAACACAGTAACAACAAGTCTCAAAATGGAGATGTTACTTGGCCCACTCGAACAAATCGATGAACAACGGGAGGACAGTGACAGTGTGACAGTGTTCTCCATCTTCAGGTAAACAGGGCCCAACAGCCTATTTAAATAAGCCTAGGTAGTTTTGTGCACATTTGTGCCCCTCTCAGGTAGTTTGAGAACTTTTTTTTAAAAAAAAACTCCCTTAAATGAAAATGTTTTATGGCAAAGTAATAGCATAATATCTAAGGTAGTTAGGTTGACACAGTATTTTCAGTGTGGAATTTTGTTTATTTGGGGACCACACCTACTGAAGCTCAGGGGGTTACTCTGGACTCTGGAATCACTCCTGGAAGGCTTCAGGGACCATATGGTATACTGGGCATTTAACATGGGTCAGATGTATGCAAGGTAAGTGCCCTACTCACTTATACTATCTCTTTGGCCCTAGTTTGAATTTTGAATGGAAATAATTATTGAAAGAAGGACATTGGCGAATATTTACAGAGGGTCACTCCAGTCCAGACACTTTGTTAAGTGTCCTATGGATAATGTTCCATTCATTCTACATCAAGTCACAATTATTCTAAGAGGCAACATACTCCCCCGCCCCCACCCTCGTGTCCAGGTTGGGAGGCTCAGGAAGGTTAAGCTGCTTGCCTGAAGTCGCACAGCTTACTGTGCATCAAGTCCTGCTCCTGCATGCTGACCCCTGAGCCTGGGCCATAAAACACTGCCCTGTTCCCCCTTCGCTGTGACTCCGGCTCGGGTGCAGGACGACCTTTTGCTCTTGGGTCTTCAGTTTATTGTTGTTTCAGACCATGGCTGCCAAACTCGTTTCCAGTCCAAGCAGCTGGGCTTTGTCACAAACATGATTTTTGTAAAGCATTCGCAGCCGAGCTGAAGTTGCAGTGAAATCACTCATCAAATGCCTGCCAAGGCTTGAGGTTTGGACAGGAATCTACTAGAACATTGTAGCCAGGGATTGTGGAGGCCGCAGCTCTTTGTCTCCAGAGTTGCAGGCAAGGGTTTCTTGTCACACATCTACTTCCTTTTGGTCTGGGAAACAAATTGTTGCCCCAGCCACAAACCAGAAAGCAGGCTCCAGTGTCCCTTACCACAGGTATGACACGTGCCACTACCGCTGGCACTGGGCAGAAAGCAGGGAGCCAGTTGTGTGAGGGTAGGTCCACCTCACAGCTGCCAGCAGTGAGCTGCTGAGAAGTGGGTGAAATGTTCTCTAACTATATCCTAAAATTCTATTCAGGTGTTAGGAATTCTGTGTCCGTACCATGATTTGATTGAACTATTGGCTCTTGCATCATAAATAAGCTTAGGGGCTGTAGAGATAATCCAGAGATAAGGCACACTTGTCTTGCTTATGGCTGACTGGATTCGATCCCTATCAACAGCTGTGGTCCACCCAGCCCCACCAGGCTTCACCCTGAAACTCAGATCCAGGTGTAAGCCTTAAGTGCCTCTGTGTGTGTTCCTCCCCCAAATAAAAAGTAGAAACTAGGTTCTAACTAGATTTCTTGCTTATAATTGTTGGGAGTACATCAGCTTCCTCAGAGCTCAGTCTCCAGAGTGCTGCTCTGAATGATGCTCTCTGCAACTGTGTATGCGGGGCTTACACAGCAGTGACCTGCCAAGAAAAGATCTTGGCATCCTGATTCCTCTTCTTTCACTGCAGGGTTGGTGGATGCCGAAGGCTGTGGAGGTGTTTAAGTCATAAGTGCACTATGCAAATAGATTTTGATGCTTTTCCTGCCTCAGTTCTCCTCAGACTGAAGTTGATAAAGAGACTCCAGCATCTGATGAAGGACCTTGTCAAAGGGAACTTTACTTGCTGGTTGTGATTCCCAGCTACATGATTCTGAGCAAGAAAGAGCCTGTTAGTGCCTATGTACTCCTGATTCCTTACTCCTCCTTCCTGGCAGTTCTCTACATGCCCATCCAGCCAATGGGTCCTTCCTGTATTGTTGCCAGCACCCAGCACTAGAGCTTCACCTGTTCATATGGAATCATGAGGATTTCCCCTGGTTCCTTTGACTGGTATTTTGGACATTTGCTGAAACCAGAAACTTGCTGAGTTCAGGAACCACACTTCTTTGTGCCAGAGTGGAACCCAACACAGCTCTCCCCTCCCTGACCCTAGAGGGAGTCTGAACACACCTCAACTCTAATGTCTTAAGGTTTTTGTCCATTCAGCCAGGTGACACAGGTGTCCACTGTCATACAAACTTGGTGAATTTGGATATGCACAAAGGAGTGTGCTTTATTTTAGGGCAATTTTATATAAAATTAGGGGAGGTATATACATATGTGTGCGTGTGTGTATTCAAAAAAGAGAAAGTAAGTGGCTATAAAGAGAGTTTCATCTACATGGCACATATATAAAATTTGTTCAGGTTTGATATATATTTGAATTTTTTTCACAATGAAATAAGATATTTAATGTCCAGTTTCCATGTCATTCGGGGAAAAAAAGTGCCCTTTATAAAGTTTCAGTGATGAAGGAATCAAGGATTTTTTATTCATTGTTTTCTTTGTTTTGCTTTGCTTGAGGCATCATTATTTACCATACTGTTCCTGATCAGGTTCCATGCATGCAACATTCAACACCACACTCTCCATCAGGGTGTTTGCTTCCCTTTGCCAGTATTCCAGGGTTCCCTACTTTCTATCCCCACCCTCTGCTCTTGGTAAGCTCAGTTCTGTAGACTTGTTCTCCTGTCCTGTACCTTTAGCCTCTGGTTATTCCCTTACTGTGTTTCTTTAAATCTCACAGCTGAGAGAGAATGTTCTGTATGTCTCTCTCCATCTGACTTTATTTATTGTTCTTGGTTGTCTTGTTTGCATGGTTTGATTATTTTTTGAGGAGTGGAAATGTGTCCTTTATGGATAAAGACTAAGCCAGAACCGATAGCTTAGTGGCAAGGCACAACTGGACCAGAAGAGAAGAATTAGGTTGAAGAGAAGAATTAGGTTGATTTTTCTACCCTTTGTAGGTAGGGTCTGTGGTAGGTTTTCTCACCTCTGGTAAGAAAATAATAGCACAGCATATGAGAAAGCAGAAATCTCCCTCCCAAGAGGAAAAGATAAGCAGGAATTTTCCAGTTTTGTACACATGAATAATGAACACAGTATTGTGTAAAATTTAATTACAACAGCAGCTCTCCATTTCTGTGGGGTCCACATGTGTGGATGCAAGTCATCACAGATCAGACATGGCGACATGGAGTTGGTTCTACCATAATGGTTACATCTGTCCTGAACATATACCGGCTGGATTTTTCCTTGTCATTATTCCCTGAACAGTGGCATCTAACATCTGTTTACATAGGTCTTATATCGCAATGCATTAGTTATTGTAAGTAATCAAGACATAACGTAAAGCATACAAGAGGATGTGCTTGGTGATATGCAAAATTATGCTGTCTTCTGTAAGAGACTAGAGATCCTCAGATTAGGGTAACTGTGGGCATCCTGGAACCATTCCCCATGGAGACTGAAGATGTTTATGTACAATTGTAGAGCTTTTCTACTTTAAAACACCTACTATTAAAGCTACCAAAAGCAAAACAATCATTTTATCCAAAGCCGTGAATAAGTAGAATGTGCTCCACACTTTATGTGAACCTGAGTATATATCAATTAAATTGTAATATTTTATTAAAACCTTCCATTTATTTAAACATCAATTTTGTTAAATTTCTAATCTTCTCTTTTTCTTCCCTCTCTTTTAAGGTAATTGTTCGAGGTGGAGGACACATTTTACCATATGACCAACCTCTGAGATCTTATGACATGATTAATCGATTTGTTTTTGGAAGAGGATGGAATCCTTATGATGCATGAGCCACTTTCCTAAAACAGGATTTCAGGGGCTTTAAATCTTTGAAAAGAAAATTTTCAGTATTGAAAATATCATATACATAAGAAAATGATCTTTTATCTCTGTAAAATTTTCTCATCAATAAAAAAAATACTATCCTTAACAAAAGATAGAGTGTTTGTGGGGGAGATGCTTTATAACAAGATTAAGAAAGTGTTGTGCATGAGTAAGAATTCCAGTTTTTAACTTCATGAATGGAAAGAATGAATTCTGAAGTGCCAGTTCAGAAAGGAAAAGATGAATGGCATGTTGGGGACTTGAATATAGATTTTAAATTCCTTCAAAGAGTGTATGAAAAGAGCAAGAAAAGAAGAAATTTGTAACATTTTTGTGCAAGGTTTTGTTATCCCTCACATATGAAGGCATTTTTGGTAAGAAGAGCTGGCCTAATACTCCAAAGGAGTGAGTGACAACTAATATTGGTGGGGAAGAGATTGGAGCATACATTCAAGCTTATCATGAAAGGTAGCTTGGCCTTCTTTGCACTATAAACCATATTAAAAAGTAGCAGTGCATCAATTGGTAATGAGTATTATATTCAGAGAACAAAGTGACTGTGCTTCCTTTTCTTTGCTCATTTTTAATTTTTTTTTAGTTTGTTTCTTCATTGACTGTGGATCATGCATATCACATTACTTAAGAGACACTTTGAATTTGAGTTTTAATTCTGTGTTCTTTTAACCAAATAGAGGACAGCTTAATTTAGTGTAATTGTGGGAAGAGTCAAGAAAGATATATAGATATGTATAATTTGGAATCAAAATATTTAATTTATAAATATGCATACATTGATAATTTTCCAATGGAAATATCAAATCTTAGCACATCTTCTCTACGTATGCATCATATTTTCATATCTCTGAAATTCTACATCAATTTTGGCTTTTCCACATCATTTTCTCTTATATCATCCATCTAAGAATTGGCTCACTGGAGTACTCAATGTAAAAACTCAATATGAGAAAGCTTTATCTTGCGACAAATATTTTATTGAGTTCTTGAAATTTCTCAGTTTGGGTTTGATTTTATTCAGGCTTTAACTTTCCTCTATATATTTTATAGTGCTTATTTATTCTAAGTCATCAAGTTAAACATTATGATCAAAGCAGATTTTAAGCATTTCATAGAATCAGTGGATGGGGGTGGGGTGGGGGAATGAGCAAAAAGCTTTGCATAGAGCCATCTACAAGCCAGAAGTATTGTACTTGATCCATTTTCATATACTGGAAATGGCACCTACTGCAGCTGGGAGACCTGGGATTCTGTCTCCAATGTGTCACCAACCTGGGTACTTTGAATAAGTCGCTTCAACAGATGAGTCCCCCAAAGTCCCAAAGAAGTAACCAGGGAAGGAGAATTCTGTGACTCCATCTGGACATTTGCTTATAGGTGTGTTAGTACTTATTTCACAAGGGTGCCATAAAAACATACAGCCCATCTTCTTATTCATGGATTCTATACTTACAGTTACCTACTCACTAAAAATATATCTCTAATATCCAAGTTCACGATCAATCACTTTTGTAGTCATTTGTGAACATGTACAATGATGAAAAATATGAGTTACCAACTGTACACCTGGTCAGCAAAGAGGTTTACTGGTTTCTTTCAGCTCAATGCTGTAAACACACATCCTTTCCTTGGTCTATTTGGGTTTAAAGGGTTTAAATTTCAGTTTAAAGGGTTCCTAAGCACAATGTGATAAAGTGCTGTTTAGTACTTCTAAGTACAGGACAGCTATGATGTATCTTATTTTGCTTTAAAAGAAGAAAGGGAAGGGTAGTTCAGAGACCAAAAGGAAACCAGTGTTTGCTCTAAGTAGAAAGAGCACTTTATGTAGAAAATAGCCGAGTGGAATCCATGTTCTTCCTGGAATGTTTAGGACAATCAGTTAAGGGTCAGTGAGAGGATACCAGTATGGCTCCATTTGTTTCATTCCAAAATGAGAGCATCATTACATCTCACTAATATTTGGTGTTGGATGGTCTCTGGGTCCAGACACGAGACAGATGTCTCACATGATTGCTTTCCCTGTAAGTAGACAACTTAGGAGGAGGAGCTGGAGAGAGGAGGGGTGCGGCATCTTCTCATGGTTCTTGTCCAGCATTGCCAAGAAGTACCATTTGGATGCTGAAAAGGTGTTATCAAGAAAATCAATTTCCTGAAAACAAAACCTTTCAAACAAGATATTTAATACATTGTCATACAAAATCATAAGCCAGGTAGACCTCTGTACCATACTTGTTACCTTGTGGCCCTGTAGTTAAAAACATTGTAGAATTAGGGAATAAGTCATGTGCTATTTTTTTTTTCTATTTTTGGCTGAAAAGCAAGCCAATGAGCTATTATATTTTTTACCTGGCAAATGGCTATGTTAGTATGACATCTAAGATATTTTTCAGAAGCAAACAGTCTGTCCTTTCAAAGTAGGAGTATTGCTTTAATAATTAGTGAGAGATTATTTGCTTTAGCAAAGAAACTCAGTTCATGGCAAGAGTATTTTGAAAACAGATGTTTGGGTTACTTCCCATGTACTCTGTACTTATTATGGGGAGGGGTCAGGGAGCCAGACTCCCTAGATCTGGGAAAATTTAACATGCATGTGCATAAGAGACAGATGGGGGCAAGCAACAGGGAATGGCTGTATCTGTTCCTTGCATGTGGGAGGCTTCATTCCACCCCAGGCAACTTGTATCCTCCTTTACTCACATAACAAGAACAACAAAAAGAGGGATGCATTGAAAAATGAGTGTGGGAGAGTTAATAAAGTTCTTCTAACAAGGTGTTTTTTCACTTGATCTACATCTCTCTATAAACTTTCCTTTTGAGCACTGATGAACGTTTACTTTTTTTGGCGAAGGGTATGTGCCCAGCAGTGCTCATGAGGCCACTCCTGGCTACCAACCAAATGAGGCCAGCAGGTCAGTGCTAAGGCCTGAGGATGTGGTGCCAGCAGCTAAGAGAGTCACCCCCGTGATGCTCAGAGACCATCAGGGCCACACTTGGTGATGTTTGGGAGGACATGGAATGCCAGGACTCAAACCTGGCTTGGTAGAATCGATTGTCTCTGTGCTATATTCCTTACCCCCAGCACTGGTGATCTTTAAAACAAAGTGTCATGACAAACTGAACATAAATCCAAATATATGAATTGCTAGATCACAAAAGACTAACCCATTTATCAAATGTGCTTTGTCATTTAAAGTTTTTTAAAATGACAAACACATTCAATAAATCCATCCTATTAGATTAGTAACTTTAACATTTTAGAAATGAAAAATATTTTTTACTATAAATATAGAACATATCTTTTTTAAAATTAAGCATTTCAAAGCATTTTTTTTTGTTTTCTTTGGGGTGCACAATCAGTGGTGTCCTTGGGTCATTCCCAGCAGTGCTCAAGGGACTAGGGTACTAAAGATAACCACAGATTTCTCACATGAGAAGTATGTGCTTGGTTCTGTCTGGCCAATCTTTATCTGTTTTAAACTTTCTTTTACATTTAAAATCATTTTATTATTATATTTTATGCATACTACCGAGAGTATCCCGCCCGCACAGCAGAGCCTGGCAAGCTCCCCCTGGTGTATTTGATATGCCAAAAACAGTAACAAGAAGTCTCACAATGGAGACATTACTGGTGTCCACTCAAATAAATCAGTGAACAATGGAAGGACAGTGACAGTGACAGTGAGTTAAAGCATACATGATTATATATACTTGTTGGTATATCTTTAGTGATTTTTCTAATGGTAGAGATGGCACCGCCGCATAAAAATTTGGAGATTACTGTTAACAACAGAAATTTAAACAAAATTTAAAAATGACCTTAAGGGGGTATGGTGCCGCCAGAAGGTCAATCTGTACCTGTGAGGAGAGTGCATCAGCAGCTTGATGGCACTGTCAGACTTTCAGATACCTCAAAATTGCTGCTGTGCCTTTGGCCAGACCCCAAAAACTTGGGGCAAAACTTACCAAGAAAGTAAACGGCCAAAAGTTAGGTATGTGGGAGACACACCCACAAACCACCTCCGGCTCAGCTATATAAGTGGGGGCATGGCCTCTCTAATTCCTGATCGAACTGCTTAAAGGTCATGATTCCAGAGACTCAGAAACGAATCTCGGAACACAAAGGCTATTGGCAGAAATGCGTCCTGTTCCTGCAGTAGGTTACTGGTGCTGGGCCACTCCAGGTGGGAAGAGGTTTCGTGCCTTGGCCTGTTCCCCCTGGCGGCCCGCTGACCGCCATCCTCCAGAGGCCACTGGACAGTCAGGTTTGGGCCTGCAGTGATGAGACACGCAGAGCCTCACCAGATGGGGCGGTGGAACCGGCCCTTTTCTCCCCATCCCAACGAGACCCGGAGTCACCTCTCTGGCTCCTGGTCAAGCTGATTAACGGCCATGATCCCAGAGACTCAGAAACAAATCTCGAAACCCAGCGGCTTTTGGCAGAAATGCACCCAGGCCGTATACGAGGTGGCCACCGCCTCAGAGCTTATTGGAAAGCCAGTTATGAGCAGGCAGTGATGGGGTAACTGCAGTCTCATGGGAAGGGGGGGGTATATTGGGGTTCTTAAAGTAAAGCACAGTGGGTAGGGCGTCTGCCTTGCACGCAGCCAACATGGCCGACCCGAGTTCGATTCCTCCGCCCCTCTCGGAGAGCCCGGCAAGCTACCGAGAGTATTCGATATGCCAGACACAGTAACAACAAAGTCTCCAATGGAGACGTTATTGGGCCCGCTCGAGCAAATTGGGGTTCTTGGTGGTGAAAAATGAGTACTGGTGAAGGGAGAGGTGTTTGCTCATTGTATAACCGAGACTTAAACCTGAAAGCTTTGTAACTTTTCCCACAGTGATTCAATAAATAAGTATAAGAAGAAAATAAATAAAATTATGAAAAAAAAAGTAAGGTGGAGTTCATGCCCAATTCAATTAGCTAATCAGTGGCTGAATAAATAGCAGTACTCCTACATTTTAAAAAAAGAGGAAAAATATGACCTTAAGCTCTGTATGGAATGGGTTAAATTATAGACCGGGATATGGCTCAAAGATCTGGGGCTCACACTTTGTATTCAGGAGCCCC